CAGGATTGCCTTGCGTCGGCACCTTAACTAGTGATAGGGAGTTAATCTTCACTGATACAAAAAGACCGGTTTAGTATTTTCAACTTGCATCATTTGCGACGAGATTTCTGTCTACCAAGAGATGAGTCCCCTCCATCCTACTTTATGGCTGTGGAACACGGCCACTATGAATAGAGAATAGTTGCAGCCTACTGATATTCGATCACAAGTATCTTCGAAGCACTGATCATCATGGGGCCACCGTGTATGTAATGCTGGGGTTAGCGGAACAGTACTAGGTAAGGATGGCAAACCAGTTGATGAAGTAATGAACCTCCATCAGTAGAGGTGATTAGGATATGCATTACGTACGCCTAACCACCGCCTACCTTGACGAGAGTTGTTGGTTGGTGTAGGAGTGGGCAAGAAGGAAGCTAGGGTTGGCCAAACCAAGACACGTCATAAATCTATGGAGTCACTGACAACTGAACTGAGCCATGTTACTAGCTGTAGAATAATTGGTTGGGACGTATAGTAACTCAAACTGATGTACCTACGTGCCAACTTCTACGTTGTGGCTTACTGAATGACTTGGTTTGCGATCGCGATACAATTGTAACCAGTGGTAAGAGACTCTGAGTGATATGGCTCCAATTCGTTTGTAATGACGCAAGTGCATCCATTCCTTGTCTTCACTAAAATTCGGGATTCCTCATGACCTTTCTTCTCCATTTAAATATATTTCCCAGGACGATACTTTCGAATCATATCTTCGAGCCCTAATCTATTCCATTACCGTAAATACTGCTACTATCTTTACCACTATGGGATTTTAGTTGACATTTCCACCTCTTTGTGCTAACATGGTATGAGAACTTGAACTGATATACCTGCGTACCAAGTTCTATGTTGTAGCTGACTCAGTTGGTTGGGGAATACCGGTTGATGGCCTATGCTTCAAGCGGGTAACAGAAGTAATTGAGTAATATATATATATATATATATATATATATATATATATATATATATATATATATATATATATATATTGATAAGTTCGTCACTTAGTATGCTTGAGGCTATTACGAGTTTACCTTAGTCGATAAACGCGAACGAGACTTTTACCAGCTTCCAGGGAGGCTACCTTGAATCCAAACGGTAAAACAGAA